CACCCCACACTCACCCCAGCCTAATCCCTCCCCCCCCCTCTCCCAAGCAGGACAGCTGCTGCGACAGCAGTACAAACGCTGTGGTTACGGGTTCTGAACTCGCTTTGAAAGGAGAAGCATATACTATCTTTGTTTGATTAATTAAGTTCTTTCTTTCTTTGTTTTTTGGGGGTTTTGGTTTTTTTTTTGTTATTTCATTTTTTAGAACTTTGCGATGAAAATAATGACAGTATGAAACCACAATATCAGGGATAGATCTAGATCACGGATGAAAAGTAGACGTCAAGAACTCATCAGCATCGTGCAGCGCCAGATTTGAAGCAGGCTTTGGCTTCAATAGATCTCCATTTTTTTTTTGCTTGAATGCTTGAAAAAACCCTACATTTTCCTGGTCTCACTTTGTTCTCCATCTGTTGGCTTTCCATGAAGCAGACGACGGAACACTTATTGTTCTTTATCATCAGTACAGCATAAAAGGAGAGCATTAACGTGTATTTTCAATAGCAAATACCCCCCCCCCTTCCAACCATGAAGAAATAGATAGTAAAAGAAAACAATATGCCGGAACTAAATGACCTTGCTCCGTTCTGCTCCGATATCGTGTGCTTGGGAAAGGTACTTTGCTCTTGATTTTCCTATTTGGCTCCGTCCTACTGGGCATGGCCTGATGTTGAACTTGGAGGTTCCCGCCTCTTAAATTACCGTACAATGTTGCAAGGGGCGTTAAACCTAAACAAACTACATTTTCTTCCCTTTTTCCTACTAGCCGCAAACAGCAAAAGAAATATACGTCCGCCCCCAACCTCCGGTGGGTGGTTGGCGGATGCTCTGGAGTGGTTTGCCCCTTCCTTTCTGTCAGAAATCTACCGGCCTTATCTCTCCTCCTTCTTTTATTTTGTATGTTTCACTTTGGTAACACTTCTAATCTTCGGCACGAATTTTTTAGGTCCTGATTGAGTTGCAAGTACTGTAAAACTCTTACTTAAGAAATACACTCCCCTCCCCCGAAAAAAAATCACACATACACACACACACACACACACACACACACACACACATACACATACACTCACACAC